AAAATTGATTATGCAAGAAAATATAGACAAATTTGAAATGAAAAAAGAGAAAAGAAAGATTATGCAAGAAAAAGAAATAGAATATGCAAAAAGAAAAAAAAAATTATGCAAGAAAAGGAAATAGAATATGCACTTTATTCAGAATTTTCCATCTACTAGACAAGGCCATTTCGGTCCGAATGGAACTCGATCTTTGACAAAATTCTCCATGAATTTTGCTCCACATATGATGGAACTTCATCTCATTACCCGTGATAGGGTCATGACTAACGTTCACCCAAGACTGACACAACGCAATATCTTCCTGAGTTGCCCACGAGCCTCCGGCTTCGACAGAAGATGCCATTTGTTTTTTTTTTATACAAATGGAAAGTAGTAGAAAAATGTGAGTTGAGAGTAAAAAATATTGGAAGGAGAAGAGTTTGTATGGAGAATTGGTGTGGAAAGTGAAAAATGTGAGTGGAGAGGAAAAAATATTGGAAGGATAAGAGTTTGTATTGAGAATTGGTGTGGGAAGTGAATAATATGAGTGGAGAGTAAAAAATATTGGATGGAGAAGAAATTGTATGAAGATTTGGTGTGAAAAGTAAATAAAATGGTTAGGTATTTATAGGGAAAAAATACAGAATTTTTTGGTATTTAAAAAAAAAAATTTCAGAATTTTTTCGATATTTTTTGTAATTTTTTTTGGGGAAAAAAACGAGGACCATCGGATTTCTGGAAAAAAAAGATCGGAGTGTCCCGGTTGCGACACGTGTCACATAGCCGTTGGAGTCTGACAGGGCTGACGTCAGCGTGCGGAAGTCAAATTTTTTTACCGTTGGCGCGTGTAATTCACGCGCCAACAGTAAAAAAAAATTGATTTTCCTTGCGCTGACGTCAGCGTGACGCCAGCGCTGACGTCCCAAGACTCGGGCTGAAGCCCAGGCTAAACCTGCCCTTGGGCTTGCCAGGGCTGGTGGGACCCACGCCAACCCGGGCCAAGGGCTGCTGCGCTGGAGTGACTTGGGCTGTCTCAGGGGGCCTTTTGCCTGGCTTTGTTGTGCGCGCTGGAGATGCTCTAAGTGGTCCACTTTGTTTTGACTTGAATTAAGACCAAGAAAGAAACCAAACCAAATAACTATTGGGGGTTGGTGGTTTAAGCATGAGTTCATGAATATTTTGAGGTGGTTAGAAACTAGTGTTTAATTTTCAGAGAGTTTTATAGAATTTATGTGGATTAATTTGATTTGTGGACCCTAAGAAAATATTTAAAATTTTATTGAGGTTAAATGGTGGTTTGGATGTCATAAGTTGAAAGTACATGTGATTACGAGTTTGTAACATTTTTTGGTGAATTTTTCAGAGTCCCGGATGTATTTTTAAGGAATTTCTGAAATTGGTCCATTTGTAGTGTGCCACGTGGCAGATGGTGATTGGCCTACTTGAATATAATAAAAGATATGAGAGAGTGGATAATATCCCATAATTGCTGGGTTGCCTTCTTCTCCTTGGCGCGACCTGAAATGGAAAACCATTCCAGATTCATCAAATCTTGTGTAATTCATAACTTTAGTTGTAGAAGTCAGATTAACGAACCGTTTCGGCCTTCATGATCTTGTTTTGAAATATAATGCAATAATATTACACAACACACACCACCCTTTCAGCATTGATGCTACACATGTTCATCTATGCACATTTCAGTATTGGGATCGGACCTCGATCGTTTGGGAGGTCGATCCTCATCAGACGAGCCATGGCTTCTTTGACTTAATGTCTGCCTGAGCATTGTCCTCGCCAAGAACATTAGCATCCTCATTGGAGCCAGAAGGATATTGTATCATCTTATCATTGATAACTTTGTCCCACACTAGACTGACCCCTGTTTTCTTCACACTGAATTGGGGTCCAAAATCTACGATAACCTCAACTTCATCACAGCCCTCCAAATTGAACGCATTGTTTGATAGATTTCCCTGCCAAAGATGATCTTCAAGAGATGCTACCAGATCTATTGCAACCGGCCTCGAGGTACGCATTGTGCCCTTGGTATAATTTATAACTGATATGCTAGTAAGATCTTGAGATATTATGTTGTCGAGACATGAAGAATAAACAATGCACACAATCAACTCCTTCAAATTACAACCAATATTTTGAGGCACTTCAAAAAAGACTGAGGCGCCCTCATCAACATAGGGGAACCACTCAGGAATATTACTTCCAGGGAGAAAAATGCCTCCAAATCCACTCACAGTCCATCCCTGTACAGGCAGAGTAAGATTTGTATAAGCAAAGCATGCATGTTTTTGTGTGAGTGTTATGAGAGAGAGAGAGAGAGAGAGAGAGAGAGAGAGAACCTGTAGGATGTTCTCTTTAAGAGCATCAGTGATATTGCTGCAGCCTTCCATTCGAATGAATCTCAAGGACTTTAACAACTTAACCAAGCCTGGAATCTCAATGAGTTTGCTGCAGTTTGTCAGACTCAAAGTATCCATATTCGAGATTTCTGATAAATTTGGTATTCTTTCCAGTGAAGTGCAGTTTCTCGCTTCCAGGGATTTCAAATTGTTTGGTAACTCTGGGATTGCATTAAGGTTTGCACAATAATCCAATATTAGCCTTCAAAGCTTGGAAAGGCCATTGAGGCTCGATGGCAGGCTACGAAAACTATTGCTTTGTAGATTTAATTCTTGTAAAGAAAATAAACTCCCAAGATCCTTAGGAATTGCATCATCAGTTAAATTGCAGTCTTCAAGAGATAATCTTTGTAAAGAGGTTAAGCCTCGTAATGATGGGGGCAATAGATTAGTTGGTTTAGTAATTTTCCTAGGCAATACCCAAGACCAGAAAAGAGAGGGCAATGAGTTAGATGGTGATGCTTTCAAGCCACACAGAGATAAACATTTCAGGTTCGTCAGTCGTAATATTGTAGAAGGTACTTTTCTTATGGCTGTGTTGTCCGCAAGAAGAGTTGTCAATGATACCATCTTCTCTAAATCATCATCCAAGTTTGCAAATTTTGAACACCCAGAAAGATCAAGAGTTTCAATAGATTTCAACTCATAGAAACTCCTTGGAAGATCCTAGAGCATTTTGCAATCTTTCAAATTTACCAAAACAAGTCTTTCAAGATGGCCAATAGACGGGTGCACCTCGAACAAACTCTTTCAGTCTTTGAGCATCAGTTTCTCAAGATTTGGAAGTTTTGAAAAGTCTTGCGAGCGGCTATACTATTTAGTAAATAAAATTAAGAAAGAAGGACCATCGTAGTTGTATTAGTTTATACTACGTATAAAATACGTGATTGTTATATTCGACAAAATTTTGGCAAATTACAAATTAAAATTTGTATAATACATGAATTGTGTGTATTATTAAAAAATTTATAAAAAATTAGTGTATTAAATATGAAATATACCTATGTACATGTTCTATACAAGTATTGTACATTTGCTTTTTCAAAAATTAGGAAAAACCCAGGTCTAGCCGCGCGGCTATACTATTTCCATTTAAAAATTAAAAAATAGTATAGCCGCTCGGCTAGAATATTTCTTTTGAAAAAGTAAAAATGCAGTGTATAGCCGTGCGGCTATACTTTTCTTTTTAACAAAAAAATTAGGGAAAAAACCGAGTATGGCTGCACGGCTATACTATTTCTTTTTAAAAATTTAAAATACAGAGTATAGCAGTTCGGCTATACGATTTCTTTATTAAAAAAATTAGGGAAAAACAGAGTATCGCCGTGCGACCAAACTATTTATTTTGAAGAATTTGAAGACGCAGAGTATAGCTTATTTTTTACCAACATTTGGGGGAAAACCTTGAATAGCTGTGCGCCGATACTATTCTTTTAAAAAGTTAGAAAAACAGAGCATAGCCGTGCAACTGTATTTTTAAAAAACAATAGGAAAAACCCAAGTATAGCCGGACGGCGATACTATTTAATAAAAAGTATTTATTAAATACACAGTATAGCCGCCCGGCTATACCATTTTTAAAAAAAATTGGGAAAAACTAGAGTATGGCTGCGCGGCTATACTATTTCTTTTTAAAAAAAATTAAGAAAAAAGGGTATAGCCATTTGGCTGTACTGATTTTAAAAAAAAATTAGGAAAGAAAGACCCTCCTAGTTGCATTAGTTTATACTTTGTAGATTCAAAGTTTGGCCACTATATATTATTTGCATTCAATAATATGTGAGAATTATGTGTATAGTACGTGAATTTTGTGTTTATTATTTAAAATTTCATGAAAAATAAGTATATTAAATATAAAAAATATGTACATACATGTTCGATACGAGTACTGTGCGTTTTCTTTTTTAAAAATTAGGAAAAAACAGAGTATAGCAAAGCGACTATACTATTTCTTTTAAAAATTACAAAACAGAGCCGGCTATACTATTTCTTTTTTACAAAAATTGAGGGTTCTTTTAAAAAATTAGTGAATAATTAATAATTAAATATTTTATCAAATAAAAAAATAAAATAAATAAATTACTATTGATTAAGTAATATAATTTGTATAATTAATTAAAATAATTAATACTAATTGTTCACTAAATAAATAATAATTAAAACATGATTACTAATGAAAATGATTAAATAAGGCTAAGATATGATTTAATTAATAAAAATAAAGTTAAAAAAAACTCTATTGACCTAAAGATACTAAGTATATTATTTCTTTTTAAAAGAAACCTCTTACGAAGAAATGTTTTTGGGAGATGTCTAATCCGGCAAATATAAATTCATATTTTTATTGTTGGTGCAATGTGGAAATATCTTTCAACCGTATAGCCACGCGGCTATACGCTACAAATAGAATATTTCAACAGTATAGCCACGCGGCTATACGCTACAAATAGAATATTTCAACAGTATAGCCACGCGGCTATACGTTACAAATAGAATATTTCAATATTATAGCGCAGCGATACTTTATAAATATAAATTTTCAACTGTATAGCCGCGGGGCTATACTCCTCTAAATAGAATTTTCACAAGTATCGCCGTCCGGCTATACACTGTAAGTTGAAATATCAACAGTATAGCCACGCGGCTGGACTCCCTGAATAGAATTTTCCAAAGGTATAGCCGCCCGGCTGTACTCTTCTCTGTAAGATTTAATAGCCATACTATAAGATTAGTGATGACTGCTAACCGTATTCTTTGCAACTGCATCAGGCCCGAAATTGTCACACTCAATCATGAGAAAGAGAGACGTAGGCAGATCTTCAAAACCTACATTTTATCTGACAAAATCAATGATTAAGTACAAAGACATGATAACCCTTCACTCCATCATACCATCTTGATTACTAAATTATTCAATAATAAAATTTCTAAGCTATTCCAAATATGATTCATTCCGCCCACTCGCAAGCTCATTCACGTTTGTTTAAATTAACCCAAAGATTATTAAGCAAATCCTGAACCGAAACAACCTGTTCATATACTTGAAGAAGTGTTGGCACTGCACTAACCCGAGAGAAGATGAAATCCATTCCCTAAGGGTTCGAGCGTTAATTCAACATAGTTTCAGTTGTTGTAAAGGTCTTCGAAACTACCACAACTGCAAATATCAACAGAATATGAATGAACGATAAGAAACCCCACATAGAGCTTAGATTACAAAAGTCAATATTTAGTGATATAAATAAACTTAATGCAATATTTCTGGCAACATCAATAGGATCAACGTTTGCAAGACTGCACCAAATATTTATACAGAGAATGCATCTAACATAGTCCCTGAATATGGGCTATGTTTCTTCAAGCACCACAACTACAACCAACACACGGAATACAGATTGCTTTAAAAAATATACACAAAGAAAATTTGAAAGCATAAGCAAAAGCATGCCATGTCCTAAAATCCTATGTGCTGTATCAAATACAAAATGCTTCTCTACATGTGTTTAACAGATGAATGCATACCTCCTTTAAGAACTATGCCACTGTAATAAACTCATGAGCACAGACAATCTCATTGTTCCAATCAGGTAGGTCCTAAAATGAAGGAGGACTTGTTCCATCAGCACCACCAATAATTGAAATGCTATTCATCAGCACCACCAATATCAGAAATAAATGAACAAAATATAACTTAATCAGAACGTAAAGTAACGACATCAGAGATAACTTGGTCTTAGAATGGTAGGTTTTAATAAAATTTCTCAAGATGCAACACAAATGTTTCAGAAATAAGTAAGCTTATGTTTAACATCAGATATAGCAGATGAGCACAAGAACAAAAGATAATTATAAATGACACACAAATTAAGTGTTATGTTTGTTTTAGGTGAACCTGGAGATGCTACTAAGGTTGAATCCCATACTCGAACTGATACAGATCGGACTATGGAGATCTAACAAGACATGTTAGCATTGAAATTGAATGAAAATATGGAAAAATGGGTACAAGTACTCAACCAATGGATCTCCCTATCCCCATCCATTTCATGTTCATTCATTCTTAACACATAAAACAACAAAAGAGGATACTCATGGAATGTAAACAAGTAGCACAGGATCACCCTCATTGCTCTCCAAGTGTTCCTGTTGCAGAAAGTAGGATCAGATGAGGCATGCCTAGTAATTGAAACATAAATTAAAACCAAAATATATGCATGGTAAACCTGAACTGAATCTCAACCAATGATTCAGCAATTTCTTGGCCGAAGATGAAGGTTTTTCCACTTCTACAGCAGCTGTATTATCTTGCATCTCTCTGGGAGTTTTAATTTTACTCTTTTTGCCCATCTTATGGATCCAAAAGTTACATTTCACCTAGATTACACTACTGAGAATTGACAAAAATGTATTTGCAGAAATGCCAGACCCGCAAGGAAAAAAGAAACCTGAAGAAAAAAAAGCCATTCAAGTTTTCGAAAAATCGGCCGCCTAGGCGGGCTAGGCGGTTTTTTTTCTTTCAAAAATAAATAGTATTCATTTTCTCTGGATTTTGGTGTTAGCATCAAATGGTATTCATTTTCTCTGTAAATGGCCATAGGACCTTAATTCTAGTTGAGTGCTGAAGAATGACAAGCTTTATAATTCTTTCCTATTAGATATCTCCTCTCTTTCCTTTTGAAATTGAAATCAGAGCGATAGTTGGTCATTTGATTATGATGATATTGATTGAATGCAAGCAACTCCCAAGGTTCACCCTAATTTATGGAAACCAAGGAGTGGCTTAGAGCTGATGAACAATGACCTTCCCAGCACCAACCCTGAAGACTCTATGTCCTACTTTGATTTGTCCAAGAATGAGTCATATCTCATATCAGCAACAGGAGGGATGATCTCCATTTTTGACATGACAACATTTAAGGTCAACCCAACACAAATAGTATTCTTGAAATTTTCTTTTCCCAGACAAAACTTCCCAAATCTTGTTTGTCAATATGCTTAGGTTCTGTTTGCAAATTTCTCATGATCTAACTCATTGTGCTCATAAAAATCTGTCTCGTAAAAACGCGGACGATGAAGAAAGTCATGCCACCACCACCTGTGGCAACATGTCTTGCTTTGACAGTATAGTTGCTATTGGCATGGACAATTCCACCATTGTAATATACAATCTCCACTCAGACGAGGTAGTTTGTTTGTTCTTGTAAAAAAAAAAAAAAATTATGCTCGATGTTGTGATAAAGCAAACCCGAAAAGTTTGTCATTGCCTTGATTTATATATTTTGCAGGTTACAAGGAAGCTTGAGGATCACACCAAAAGAGTCACTAGCCTTGCCTTCTTGAACACTCTGAATGTACTAGTTTCTTCTGGTGCTGATCCATATTGGAAACTACAATACTACTTTCAGACATGGCTTCTACTCTAATGTGACTCTTGTTATTTAACAATTGACGTCGTTTTGGCCCTGCAGATTTTCGTGTGGGTTGCTACTGGGTGGGAAAAACAGAGAAGCAAATTGCTGCAGAGTCCAGATGGGAAGGAGTTGAGATCATTGTCAGATACTTACATCCAAATTCACCAGAATGAGCTGCACCTCTTTGCCATAAACAAGACTCACCATGATTTTTTATTTTATTTTTCATATAAAGATGTAGTCACCGCCCCTTCACAAGTATATGATACTAACATATACAAATGCTCAAAAAGAGCCTGCATATTTTACAATTGATTTCAAGAACGATAAGGTTCTTTTTGAAAATTCTGCAAGCTAAGTATTCTTCAAGTGGTCACAC